TTTCCTCCATTGCACTTTCCCTTTTTTCAGTTTCACTAGCTATGTAACATGGGTCAGTGGCCTGTCATTTTCCTTCTCGGCTTTTTCCCCGGGCTCTGTTGTGGTCTTTTAGGGCCTCCACATATAGCTTAGTCTTTCATTTACTACAGTCCCCCACTGATAGAGCTTCTACATGCAGTTTTGCTCCTCCTTTCCCTACAGTCCCCTTATTTGTGGCTGAGGTAAACGGTCTCTGTTTTCAATCCCATAATGTTCTTTAGTTCTTTAGGCTGTTTCAGATTTTCCAGTTCCTCTTCTAAACTCTGTAAACCTGGGAAACGCTGCTTTGACTTTCACCTCCCACTTCCTGCTTTCCATGTCTATCCTCTCTTCCATTCCATGCTAAGTTTTCTAGTTTTTTTTCCCATTCTTGTTCCCCTTTTTTTGAGCTCTGCTGCCCAATCTTCCTTTGCTTTTTCCCCCTCCTGTCCCTTGGTTTTCTTGTTGCTCCTGGCAACCCATTTTTTTTTTTATCCTGATTTCCTCAGAGTGGGAAACCTATGTAATTCGTATGTTAGGTTTTGTATTGTATATTCAGAGTGTGGGGGGGGGAGGTAGAGGAGGAACTGTGGCTATATGGGAGTAGTGGGAGGGGGAGTGGAAGGAGAGTGAAGCAAGTGGGTAAGTGGGTGAGGGAGAGGTGGGGAGGGGGGGGGGGAGGGTGAAAAGAGGGGGGGGAGGGATCAGTGAAGGAGTGAGATGTCGGTGGGGGGGGGGGGAGTGTATGTTGAGTCTGGCAATATGTGTGTGTGTGTGTGTTGTGTGTGTGTTGCGTGTGTGTGTGTGGGGAGGGGTGGGGGGGGTGTGGGGGTGTGTGGGGTGGGTGGGTGTGGGTAGGTTGTGGGTGGGTGGGTGTGTGGGTGGGGGTGTGGGTTTTGTGGGTGTGTGGATATGTGTGGGGGGTGTGTGTTTGTGTGTGTGTGGTGTGTGTGGGTGGTGTGTGTGGGGGGGTGTGGGTGGGTGTGTGGGTGGGTGTGGGTGGGTGTGTGGGGGTGTGTGGGTGTGTTTGGGGGTGTGTGGGTGTGGGTTTTGTGTGGGGATGTGTGGTGGGTGTGTGGGTGGGTGTGGGGTGTGGGTGGGTGTGTGTGGGGGTGGGTGTGTGGGTGGGTGTGTGGGGGTGGGTGTGTGGGTGGGGGTGTGGGTTGGGGTTTTGGGTGTGTGTGGGTGTGTGTGGGTGTGTGTGGGTGTGTGGGTGTGGTGGGTGTGTGTGGGTGTGTGTGGGTGTTTTGGGTGTGTGTGGTGTGTGGGGTGTGTGTGTGGGTGTGTGGGGTGTGTGTGTGTGTGTGGGTTGTGTGTGGGTGTGTGGTGTGTGGGGTGTGTGTGGGTGTGGTGGGTGTGTGTGGGTGTGTGTGGGTGTGTGGGTGTGTGTGAGTGTGTTGGTGTGGGTGTGCGTGCGCACACTAGGCTACGCTACTCTTTTGAAGATTATAAAAAAAAAAAAATTCCCAACAATTCCTTTTTAAATATGCACTAATATATACTAATATAATATTAATTGCGTACACTTGTGTTTGTGTGTGTGGTGTTTACTAGCTTGTCGTTCTTTGAAAAAGAGGGGGGGGGGGGTTACGTTTAAAACTATTTGTTATTGTTGTTGGTTCACCGGGGACTCTCCCGGCCCAGATCTCCGCACACTACGCTACTTAAACTTTTTGAAGATTATAGGATTTTTTTTCTCACTCAATTCCTTATTAATTATATACTAATGTTTAATTATAACAATAATTACGGTTGCACACGTGTGTTTTTTTATGTGCGTACTTGTTTACTAGCTTGTCCCCCAGAAAAACGGGGGGGGGGGTCACTAGGCTACACAACTCTTTCTGAGTTTACCTGGCGATATTTAGATAATTTACTAAAACACTATCTATCTCCTGGTACGAAATAGGAGAGAGAGATGGTATAGCCCTACAACCAGCAGGGCGAGAACTTTAGACTTTAGACACTAACCAAAATTAACCACAAATAGGCAAGTGATGTCGTCTGCACAACAATGGAGGTTCCTGCTGGTCGTCTATCAACTCCTTCAATTTTGTAACTCCTTCAGGAACTTTCATGCATTCAAGTTTTTAAATTTTTTTTTTCTTTTTAAAACTTGGTATTCCCTTTTTTTTTCTTAATACAGTATTATGGTCATAACAAGTCTGATGATGTTAGCTTCATTCACAACACCAACAGCTGGGGATTGACCTAATTTTTTTTTACTTTCAGATTTACTTAATCACTCTTTTATGCCTTATCACTACAACTGCTGCTATAATCAACCAACAATATGTATTTATTAATATTTCAGATCACACCGTTAACCCAATTAACTGTTTGGATATTTTGTGTCAACACTGCGGCCAGTAGCCTGATAGCTGACTGCTACCCTCCCTCACTCAAATTTCATTCAAATTTAAATTGTAAAATTCTTGATCCTATCACATTATTCGCACTCTTGAAAGTTATTACACTCTTGTAGGTATGTTCACTGATTCACTCACGTACGATGACCGCTAATAATATCTTAGGACAGCCACTAGAACGCTAAATCCTGGGAGCACTATTTAGCGATACTGCTTCACGTGTCTGTGTGTGTATGTGTGTGCGTGTGTATGTGTGTGTGTGTATGTGTGTGTGTGTGTATGTGTGTGTGTGTGTGTGTGTATGTGCGTGTGTGTGTGTGTGTGGTGTGTGTGTGTGTGTGTGTGTGTGTGTGGTGTGTGCGTGTGTGTGGTGTGTGTGGTTGTGTGTGTGTGTGGTGTGTGTGTGTGGTGTATGTGTGTGTGTGTGTGTATGTGTGTGTGTATGTGTGTGTGTGTGTGTGTGTGTGTGTGTGTGTGTGTTTGTGTTTGTGTGTGTGTGTGTGTGTGTTTACGTATGTGTGTATGTATGTGTGTGTGTGTATGTGTGTGTATGTGTGTGTATGTGTGTGTGTGTGCTTGTGTGTGAGGGAGGGAGGGTTAGGGGGTGTGGTTGAAAGATCCGTCGTGTAGGCACAAATTTAGTCTCATTTATCTTTCCCAATTATGCTACTCTCTCTACTTATTGCCCTTTCTGGATTTACGTGTTAATTGTTGCTGGTTATTATCATTTTCCTTGTTCACATTGAGAGAGGACTTCCTAGCTTCCTAAGTATTCTTACTGCTAATAACTACCGGTAGTAACACTGCCTGTGTACATGTGTGTGTGTGTGTGAGTGTGTGTGTGTGTGTGTGTGTGTGTGAGTGTGTCTTATGCGGTGTAATTACTGGCTGCAACTTCTTGTGACCTGACACAACCCTCCTGGGACCTGAGCCTAGCACCGTCTTACAATGTTGCCCTTAAAAGCTTGTCCCACCTACCTTCCCACACTCGTCAACACTATATTCTCTATGTCTATGCTATTTCTATTCTAATTCTGGTAATAGCTTGCAGGAGTGAGTGACCAGTATCAAACAGTATGCAAGGCCAGCCAGGGCCGTCAACATGCAAACCACAACTAGGCGAATAAACTTGCGGTGACAGTTGCCAGCTGCTGATGACGAAGTAGTATGTAGGCCTTAAATCCCTATTTTGGAGATCCTTCACCCGTGATGATTATAACCATATATTCTCGTACATCCCGCTTCCTCACTTCACTCTTCACTGATGATAGTATACACTTCACATTATATACACTTCACTTCATATGTATAATGGCACACAACTTGTCGTGACGTCACTTCATCAGGCCTACCGCTACCAATGTGGCAACTGCGCCTAAGACCCCCAACGGTTTGCGTTTTGAAATATTATGATTTCAGCTTTCCTCTCACTTTCTTTAACTAATAACTTTAATTATCACTCGTAGTATTGTTCACTGACGTTCCACTACCACTGATTACTTCTAGCTGATATTACGCGTCTTTCAACGCTAAGGTTCTCGGAGCCTTGTTACCCACGTCTTCACCCCACGGACCTCACTGTGTGTGTGTGTGTGTGTGTGTGTGTGTGTGTGTGTGTGTGTGTGTGTGTGTGTTTGTGTGTTTGTACTCACCTAGTTGTACTCACCTAGTTGAGGTTGCAGGGGTCGAGTCCAAGCTCCTGGCCCCTCCTCTTCACTGGTCGCTACTAGGTCACTCTCCCTGAACAGTGAGCTTTATCATACCTCTGCTTAAAGCTATGTATGGATCCCACCTCCACTGTGTGTGTGTGTGTACTCACCTACTCACCTAGTTGAGGCTGCGGGGGTCGAGTCCGAGCTCCTGGCCCCGCCTCTTCACTGATCGCTAATAGGTCACTCTCCCTGAACCGTGAGCTTTATCATACCTCTGCTTAAAGCTATGTATGGATCCTGCCTCCACTACATCGCTTCCCAAACTATTCCACTTACTGACACTCTGTGGCTGAAGAAATACATCCTAACATCCCTTTTTCAAAGAGTGTTGAAGTTGTTGTTAGTGGTGGTATAGCCCTCTGCTCCCCCAAATCAGGACCCATGGAGAGATGTTATCCGGCCCCATCGCCTTTGAGGTATATAGCTCACTTAGCAGCCTCTTCATCTCTTCCTCGGTCTCATGTATTGTGTCCATCACTTGATGGTGTACCCCACCTCTCCATCTTTCTGGAGTCCTTCTGTCTCCTATGTGAACGCTTCTTTGAATCTCATGTTGAACTCCCCACATACTTCACAGTCGTTTCTTGTGATCTCTCCTCCTTCCTTCCTTCCTGATTACCTGGACCTTGGCTGTTGTTTTCCTCCTGATGTGGCTGTACAACAACTTGAGTCAGATTTTGGCTTTTTCTGCTTGTCATTTACATACTGTTATTAGACTTCCTCTCACACAAACACTCACATACACACTGTGTGTGGGGGGGGGGGGGTCCGTTTGCGTGCAAAATGGAAGAATTTACTGTTTATTCCCTGATAGTAGTTCATAACAACTTATCTTAGGTTTTTGTATGTGCATTTATAAATTTTACACAAACATGAACTCTTAAGAAAGTATTTATTGCAGGTTAAGTACGTAACAACAACAAGATCATCCAAGACGCGACCCAATATCGAGGAGGTATACATACCTGAAGTGGATGACCTCTCCTCTAAGTTCATTAACCCTTTTACAACGAGTTTCTCCAGCGTCTTCATGAGTTTGGTTTCCTTAATGCCTGAGTACTGTGGCAAGGCTCTCCACTCGAAGGAGATTCAGGCACTTGAAAAGGAGAAGTTCGACTTGGTATTCATGAGTATATTCATGAATGAGTGCTTCTATCCCTTTGTCGACAAGTTACAGGTAAACTTACGTATATATTTTGTAGTAGTGAGAGACTTATTATGAGAGTTGATATAATGTCACGAGTAATAGGTAATAGACATGTATGCACTGATCATTTATTTTGTTTTTCATTTCTTACTATGTAGTAGCCCTCTGAGAATACTGCAGAATGAGATTTTCTTCTCTGTAATAACACAGTCGTACTCTTACTCCACTTTTCATCGCTTCACTTTTATTAATTCCTTCTACATTCGAGTGCAGGAGTCACTCTGAGTCTTCTACATCTCATTCTTGTCTGAGTTTTTTGCTTTCTACCGTAATGATGAATTTTCTATATCTTACTATTGTCTTGGCTCGCTGCTTTCTTCACTTATCGTTATTCTGGGCAAGAAATGTTGGTAATGTTGGGGTATATCCTTGACCTTTCTCTCTCTCTCTCTCTCTCTCTCTCTCTCTCTCTCGCTGTTGACAGATGTTCTGTTCCCTGTTCCACTCCTTTGTTGCTTCTCCCTTCCCATGCCTTCCATTTTTGGCTTTTCATTCCTTCTCCATTTGATCTTCCTTGACACAGACAGTGTCAAGGCTTGACACAGTGTCGAAGCTTCATACAGACAGTGTCGAGGCTTGACACAAACAGTGTTGAAGCTTGACACAAACAGTGTATGAGTTTGTGTATGTGTGTGTGTGTGTGTGTGTGTGTGTGTGTGTGTGTGTGTGTGTGTGTGTGGTGTGTGTGTGTGTGTGTGTGTGTGTGTGTGTGTTGTGTTTATGTGTGTATGTGTGTGTGCATGAATTTGTATATATATGTGTGTGTGTGTGTGTGTGTGTGTGTGTGACTCAACAATCAATATTTGCACCAATAACTCACTACAGTTGTGACCGGGTGTGGAAGTGTGAATTGCTCATTACACTATAATTTGTTCATGATTGTAGCCATGTATAAACGTAAGTAACCATTCTTACAGTATTCATTACCTTTGTAACTTGTGAGTTCATTACCTTTGTAACTTGTGAGTTCATTACCTTTGTAACTTGTGAGTTCATTACCTTTGTAACTTGTGAGTTCATTACCTTGTACCTAGTTCAGCCATCAAAACTTTGGGGCCCAGTCCCTGGACCCATTACGTACCTCTGTAATCTGTAAATACCTTTGTAACTTGTCATGATTGTGACTAGACCTACCTGGAGTTCATTACCTTTGTAATTTGTGAGTTCATTACCTTTGTAAATTGTGAATTCATTACCTCTGTAACTTGCTCAGCTATCAAAACTTTGGAGTCCAGTCCCTGGACCAATTATGTACCTCTGTAATCTTTTGACTACCGCCCAAAGGATGGGTATGGGGTGCATAATAAACATATTAAACTAAAAGAAGCTTGACACAGACAGTGTCGAAGCTTGACACAGACAGCGTCGAAGCTTGACATAGACAGTGTCGAAGCCTGACCCAGACAGTGTCGAAGCTTGACACAGACAGTGTCGAAGCTTGACCCAGACAGTGTCGAAGCTTGACACAGACAGTGTCGAGGTAGCGAGATCCACTCGTACTGGATTTTTATCTCATTACTGAATTTCTTGTTTATGGGCCTCGAAAACAGTATGACCTTAAAACACCAGACTTTGCTTGTCACATGTGCAGCTTCTGTTTGTTCTGTTACAACCTCAGCTATTCGTTCCACCTGTGTGCTCTCCTCCCGAGAACTGTACTCATGCATTTGTGGTTGTAGGGACCGAGTCTCAACTCCTGGTCCTATCCTTATGCTAGCCACTACTGGGCATGCTCTGCCCTGGCTTCGAGAGCTTTAGCGTACCTCTTCTGTTGGCTGTGTATGAATCTTTGGACCTTGCCGTCATTACTCCACTATACAGGTCGATCCATTTCCTGACCACTCTAAAACAGAAGAAATTCTTCCTAACTTCACTGTGATTCATTTGTGTTTTCAACTTCCAGTTATGTTCTCGTACTCCAGCTTCCCATCTCTCCAACAATCCGTCCTTTGCACTTTCTCCAATTTCTTGACATGTTTGACTACGGTGTGGGTTCCATACGGGTGCTGCATACTCTAATGTGGGCCTGACGTGTGTCGTGAAGTGTGTCATGAATGGCTCGTTGTTTATGTTTCTGAAAGCTAGTTTCACATTTGTCAGACGCATAATTGTTGCTACGGTTATTCAGATGGTGTGCACCTCAGGCGATATGCTCTGTACAGTGCTAACCCCGAGGTCCTCTTTGAGTGAGGGTTACAGCAGTTGCCCCCGAGACTGTACTCAGTCTGTGGCCTTCACCCATCTACAGTCAGATAAAACAAGATAAGATTTTCTTCGGATTTTTAATTCCAGAGGGTTAGCCACCCAGGATAACCCAAGGAAGTCAGTGCATCATCGAGGACTGTCTAACTTATTTCCATTGTGGTCCTCAATCTTGTCCCCCAGGATGCGACCCACACCAGTCGACTAACACCCAGGTACCTATTTGCTGCTAGGTGAACAGGACAACAGGTGTAAGGAAACGCGTCGAAATGTTTCCACCCTGCCGGGAATCGAGCCCGGGACCTCCGTGTGTGAAGGGAGAGCTTTAGCCACCAGGCCACCGAGGCACCAGTCATCTTAACTTTTTAAATAAACAGACCAGATGAATTAGACACTTATGCATCACAAAAAGATACCTAAGTGTTGTACAAATATCTAATTTATTATAATTTTGAACAAGCTAGGGATGAAATCTAACACCGGTTTGCCAGACCAGATTTTCACCATGTCCAGACCCATTTGAAGTCTTTCCTGGTCCTTACCTGTTCGCATTCTCCTCTTTAGTTTCATTACATCCACGAACAGGGAAACCTCTGGAAACCTCTGGCTCTATCCCTTACATCATATCGGTCATACACTAGACATATCACCGGTCATTGTACTTATGCTTGTGGAGTCCTATTCGTCATATGCGCCCATCTGGATACCTATTTTTGAGCAATAACTCACTGTATCTTTCCTATTAAGTGTTCCTTAATCCTTTGCAGTGCCTCCCCTGTTATTAACACCTGTTCCTCTAACCTTCGTCCCAGTATCTTGTGCTGTACTGTGTCAAAAACCTTCCTATAGTCCAAGAATATGTAATTTATCGTAGCATTCTCCTAGGCTTATGAGGAAGGCTTTACCATATCTAAAGCCGAGCTGGTTATTGTTAGTGTCCAGGTGTTCCAGCATCCTTCTCATTATTTTCTCGATAACCTAAAATATTATGATTTATGACTATCAATAACATTGCCAGGGAGTTTAACTCTGTCACCTTCTCTTTTTTCTTATTCTTGTTTTTTTTTTGTAAATATTGAAACAACATTCGTTGTCTTCCACACCACCGGTACTTAACCTGTGTTGTCTTCTACACCACCGGTACTTAACCTGTGTTGTCTTCCACACCACCGGTACTTAACCTGTGTTGTCTTCTACACCACCGGTACTTAACCTGTGTTGTCTTCCACACCACCGGTACTTAACCTGTGTTGTCTTCTACACCACCGGTACTTAACCTGTGTTGTCTTCCACACCACCGGTACTTAACCTGTGTTGTCTTCCACACCACCGGTACTTAACCTGTGTTGTCTTCTACACCACCGGTACTTAACCTGTGTTGTCTTCCACACCACCGGTACTTAACCTGTGTTGTCTTCCACACCACCGGTACTTAACCTGTGTTGTCTTCCACACCACCGGTACTTAACCTGTGTTGTCTTCTACACAACCGGTACTTAACCTGTGTTGTCTTCTACACCACCGGTACTTAACCTGTGTTGTCTTCTACACCACCGGTACTTAACCTGTGTTGTCTTCCACACCACCGGTACTTAACCTGTGTTGTCTTCTACACCACCGGTACTTAACCTGTGTTGTCTTCCACACCACCGGTACTTAACCTGTGTTGTGTTCTACACCACCGGTACTTAACCTGTGTTGTCTTCCACACCACCGGTACTTAACCTGTGTTGTCTTCCACCCCACCGGTACTTAACCTGTGTTGTCTTCTACACCACCGGTACTTAACCTGTGTTGTCTTCCACACCACCGGTACTTAACCTGTGTTGTCTGACTTGAAGACTAACCATACCCCCGGCCGGGATTGAACCCGCGGTCATAGAGTCTCAAAACTCCAGCCCGTCGCGTTAGCCACTAGACCAGCTAGCCACAATAAGATTCATCCAACTAGGTATATTTCTACACCATAGGAAGGTTAGCACAGGCACCACTGTGACCACAAATGCAAGTTTTTACAGACGAATCTCCAGCTAGCGTGGCCGTGACGAACTCTAGCTCAAGTCCCTTCACTGCCGTCAACATGACTCACGAAATCGTAATGACATGATTTCAATTCAATTCAAAGTTTATTCTCTATAAGGATTACAATGCTGAGTTTACAGAATTTGGTTATTGTGTGGTTTACATGTAGTAAAATAATAACTACAGAGTGTACCACTAGAACACCTAGCATGGCTAGGCATTTCGGGCAGACTTAGATTAAATCTTAAGTTTAAAATATTACAAAATTATGAGGTAAGTTGGTATTATGGCTAAGTGACTAAATACTAGTTGTGAGTTTAGCAATGTGAATGCTTTTGTTTTGGCACTATACATAGTTTCAGTACTGGAGTATCACAGGCCAACTTATGACTAGTTAAGATTCATTATTTTGAGATTGAGATTGATATTTCTGTTTGTGGTCAAATGGGTGAGTGAGTGTAAGTGTGAACCACCAGGTGGTATTCGTATTATTAGTTGACAGGGTGTATCAGGGAGATAAGATGTTTTCTGATGGTAGTTTTGAAGGTGATGAATGTGTCTGCAGTTCTAGAGTTCTCAGGTAGGGTGTTCCAGATTTTAGGGCCTTTGACATACATTGAATTTTTGTAAAGGTTTAGTCGGACACGGGGAATGTCATAGAGATGTTTGTGTCTGGTGTTGTGCCTGTGGGTTCTGTCACAACTATCAAAAAAGCGTTTTAGGTCAAGGTTAATATTGGAATTTAA